ATGACCCTTGCCGACCTGGCCACTTGTCTCTGGCTTTGGTCCCTGGCCTCAGTTTCCCCACCCGTGAAAGGGAGAGGGAGGCACCAGCCTGAGGGTTAAGGAAAGCAGTGGTGGTCGTGGAAGCGTCCAGAGCGGGGCTGGGCCCAGGCCTCCACCCTTTTCCCTCTTCCTCCCTCCTTCCTATGCCCAGGACCACCCCATGCCAGCAGGGGGCACCACTGGGTCACCTCAGTTCCCATGCTATCCACAGACGGAGAACAAGGCAAAGATGTCTCGATTTCTTCTCCTTCTTCTTCTTCTCCCCCAGCACCCCCACACCTCCCTTTCTCTTTTTTTGGTGTTTTGAGACAAGGTCTCACTATGTACCCCAGGCTGGCTTTGAACTTGCTGCAATCCTCCTGCCTCTGCCTCCTGAGAGCTGGGATGGCAGGCTTACACTGCCACATCCAGCTTCTTTTCTTTCTTTTCAACAAGTTTCATTTTCTGAGGGAAAATATTCAGAATTACAGAATCAAACCCACCAAATACAGAATGAGTAAATCTGGGAAAGGGGAAGAAAGAATTAGCAACTGATCCCTACTCCCATCTCACTGGGGAGGCGGAGGTCTGAGGAGCTCTGAGCCTTGGTTCCTCCAGCTGTCAGGAAGCTGTCTGCATGACCCCTGGGGGTCCTTCCCAATTGACTTCACACTCCTGGTCATGGGTGCTGGTGGGTGGCACTGCCCCCTGAAATCAGCCCAGGGAGGAGGCCTCTGTGTCATAAACAGCAGCGACTGCTCCCCAAGCTTCTGTAGAGGAACCCTAGCATTCAGTTAGGGTATGGATGCACACGTGGTCACAAATGTGGCCTCCAGAGCCACCGCATGGGTTCCACCCCAGCCTTGCCATTAACTTGCAGAGATTGTGAGTGATATCTCTCTGCACCTCAATTTAACTCCTGTACAATAGTGACAGAGGCAGGTGAGGTGCCACAGAGCTAAATCCCTGGCCCTCCCATAGGTTTTTTTAATATACCACACAACTCACCCATTTAAAGTGCAGTGTGGGGCCGGGGATTTAGCTTAGTGGTTTCGCCGCCTGCTGTGCAAGCTTAAGGACCCGAGTTCGATCCCTGGTACCAAAAAACAAAATAAAATAAAATAAAGTACAGTGTAGTATTTCAGAGTTGTGCAGCCTTCACCAGTCAATTTCAGAGCATTTTCATCACCCCAAAGAAACCCCCTGTTCTTTCACAGGATCTGTGCTGTCCCCACCCCAGCCCTCGATGACCCCTCATCCAGTCCCTGGGTTTGTCCGTTCTGGCCAAGATGGGATTCTGTCCTCACCAGCGTCTTTTACTCCAAGTGACATTTCTGAGGGTCAATGTGCTGTGGTCTGGGTCCCCATTTCACCCCTGCCCAGCCCATGTCTGTGGCTCCCTCCTGAGGGCAGAGAGGAGGAGCCCTGATGGGAGGAAGGAGGGGCAAGGAGGGAAAAGGCAGTGAGGCCTGGCCAGTTACTCTCCTGCCTCAGCTCCCCGCCTCAGATGGGTGGTAAGTGTGGGAGCACGGAGCACACGAGATGGGCCTCAGTCTGTGATTTCAGACCTGACACAGGGCAGGGTGAGGAGGGACCTTTCCTCATCCAGAATCTCAGCAGGGCTCGCTCTGCCCAGTCCTCAGCCACCCAGTCATCCAGGCCTGGATGCAGAGCTGCTCTGCAAAAATCAGCTGCTTGGAGGTTGGAGGGCATTGTACTCCTCACAGGACTCCAGTGGGGTCTTCTGTGGGTCCCTCCTGTAGGGTTCCTTCTGTGGGTCCTTCTCTCCAGTGGCTCTATCCCGTGGAGTCTCTCCCATGGTCTCTCCAGTGGGGGCTCCCCTGTGGGTCTCTCCTGTGGGGCCTCTCCCATGGGTCTCTCTCGTGGGGTCACTTCATGCAGGTCACTGCAGGGCTGGCACACATGCAGACCTATCTGTGGGCAGTCATGCTTTTCCCCTTCTCTTGCCCCCCCTTCTACTTACTTCCCTCCCCAAAGCTGGACCCCGAGTTCTAGTCCCAAGCAGGCCCTATACCCAGTCCTTGAGCCCAGCAGCTTTTCTACTAAGGAGCAGGCTTGCTGCATGCAGTAAAGACAGAAGGACAGTGTGCCCTCAAGACAGCCCCCTTGTACCCTACCCGTACCCCGGGTGCTGGGAAGGTTCATGTGGTGTCCGAGTTAAAGGAGGGGAAGATTTATTTAGCTCACAGTTTGTAGAGGTTTTAGTCCATAGTTGTCTGGCTCCAAGGCAGAGTGACACATGGCAGAGGGGCATCGCAAAGGAGCAACAGTCCACAGCAGGGCAGGCAGTCAAGGGCACACTAGCTCTCTTTCTGTTCCTTATGTTTTACACAGCTACTCTCACTAGGGTGGGTGTAGCACTCACCCCCTTGGCCAGAACTATGCCAAACCCATCAGTGGACTGATTTAGTAATCACGCACCCTTGATCCCAGCACTACACACTCTAGATCCAGCCACCTCTGCAAAGCTTCTGCCTATGACCATGTGAGGCTTTGGGGGGACATCTGGATGCACACCACAGCACACATTATTGTATCAACACTCATACTGGGACTTGTTTTTGCCATTTACTTTTATTTTTTTCCTCTCCACTTTTTTCCTATTGGCTATGCTGTGTGGGTGGCTGAAAAGTTACATATTCTATTTTTCCTTATGATTGCTGTTATTTTAAGACTCATTTTATGTCTACTTATTCCCCCAACTATAATCATTAGTCCCTTTTCTTCCTGTAAGGAAACAATGTGTCCCACCATCCCTTGGGCGTTCCTGTTCCTACTGATACCTACTGTACCTTCCACCTTCAAGGTTATTCTGCACTTTTTGTGCATCTAGTCCAGCTTTCCTCCTTCACAGATTCTTCTCTCCAGTATCTTGTAGAATCTTTTCTTGGATTTTACAGAATGGGGCGTAGGACCTGTTCCTTGGTCCAGCTGCTTCCTCTGGTCACAGACATGTAGCTTCATAAGAAACCACCAATTAATTCCCTTCCAAAGCGCTGAACCATGTTCATGTCATGAGCATGCTAGTTGCTCATCTTACTTGGTAAGACTTGGTATTTGCAGTTAAAAAAAAATCTTTCTTAGCCATTCTAGTAGATATCTAGCAGTATCTCATTTACGGTTTATATCTGTACTTGCCTAAAGACTAGTAAGATTGGGCATATTGTTAAGTGATTTCTTTGAAAAACATCTGTTCAAATATTTAGACCACTTAAAAAAAATCCAGGTGCTTCTCTCTTTGAGTTGTAGGCATTCTTTATTCTAGAAATTTGTATTTTTCCCAAGTTTATGGTGTACTTTTATGTTTTCTTTTCTCTTTACTTTTTTTTTTTTGACACAGGGTCTGGTTATATAGTTCAAGCTGGTCTTGAACTCACTATGTACCCCAGGCTGGCCTTGAACTCATGGTGATCCTCCTCCCTTAGCCTCCCAAGTGCTAGGATGACAGGTGTGCACCACTACTTTCAGATTAAAAGGGTTTTTCAAAGAAGTTTTAAAGTCCACTCCATATTTTTTTCATTTATTTTCACTATTTTTCATTGACCAAGGAAATGTTTATCTGCCTTAATATTTTCTCCAGGCCGAGGGTTTAGCTCAGTGGCAGCACACCTGCCTCGCAAGCACAAGGTCCTGAGTTCGATCCCTTGTACCAGGAAAAACAAAAAGAAAAAAATTTTCTCCACTGTTTTCTTCTAGAAGTTTTATGATTTAGGTTTATGTCTGTACCCCATGTCAAGTTAGCTTCTGTGAACAGTGTGGATTAAAAATCAATGCTCATTTTCTCCTGCACAGCACTCAGTTCTTCCTGCACAAGTTGCTGAAAAGAACCCTGTTCCACCTTTGCCAACCACACACGCTCACCCCTCTTCCTCCTGTGCTCTGGGCTTTTGGCTCTGAGGTTTCCCTGCTTTCCAGGAGCTCCGATGTGCAACAAGAGGGGTGTGCTCGGTGCTGCCTGGTATTTCTTCATTTTTGTAGTGGACCTTTCCTAAAGGCCACAGGATCCAGAGTTGCTGGGACGGAGCAACTTGCCTTCCACCAGGTGGGCTGCACACCTCCGCACAGGGACCTGCTCAGTGCCACTTGTGCTGGCAGGGGCTTCCTGTTCTTTTCCACATGCAAGGGACCCCTGGTGTCCTGCTCCTTTTCATTGCCTTTGACGCCGAGCCCATTTGTGGGTGGCTGTCCCCTGTCCCACCTTGGTGACATGGGGAGCTGTTGCCCTGCTTCCTGGATGCCATGGGCACCAGACCACCCATTTTTCCCTGCATGTGGAGGACCTGGGAAGGGGTCTTAGAACCACTTGGCTCCCTGTGGGCACAGCAGCACCAGTGAGGCCCCGAGAGACCCATCTGTCTCCACCAGGAAGCCCCCAGCCTAGTCCCAGGGAGGGGCCTGGGAAAGTGTCAAGTCCTTGTGCACAGAGGAGGAGAACAGCAGGGTGGAAGGGAAGACCCAGGACTCCGCCCCTCACCCTCTCCCCTTTCCCCTTCTCCCCTGCATAGGGGCCGTGGATGAGGGACCCAGGACACCTTTGGGCATTGTCTGTGGGGTCCCCACCCCCCTGCAGCCCTCTGTGCACCCCAAGTGTGGGGCCAGTAGAGGCTCCACGCCCCCCAGGCTGGGGCCTGCTGAAAGGGGGCTGACACTGTCCTATGACCACGATGCACAGGGGACAGGGACCAGACCATGGGACACCAGGCCCAGCACCAGGCATGAGCACAGGAACAAGGCAGGCCACACCCAGTGCTCTGCTGGGCACAGGTATCATTCAGAAAGTGTTTCTGAATGGACAGAAGGTAAAAGCCAATCTCAAAACACCCAGATTCCAAGTCTCCCTCCCTCCCTCTCTCTCTCCTTTCCCCTCTCTTCCTGTCTCCTTTTGCCTGGAATCTGACCCCACCCATTCCTGTGAGGGAGGACATTGTCCTGTCCTACCGGCTCTTGAACTCAGCCCACGTTTCCTTGAGTAAAGAATCCCTGGCCCCATCACAACTGGCCACCCAGGAGTCCTGGGTTGGGGAACAGTTTCCAAGGACTCGCCCACAACAGCACCATGGGGTGCAGTGCTTCAGGCCTCAGCCAGGTGCTGAAGGCAGCTCATTTATTCCGGGGGACCCTGGGGATGGCAGGCCAGGGTGGCAGGCATCAGCTGGCATCATTTCTTCATGGCCCCTTTCTTCAAGGTGGCCAATTTCTTGCTGCCCCACCTGTCTCTGCTGAGATTCAGGTCCATTTCGGGCTCCTGCAACCTAAGCACCAAAGCGAAGAGAGGGGGGTTTGGGGAGCAGGGTGTGAGATGGAGGATGGGGGATGGGGGATGGGGGATGGGGGATGGGACCCTCCCTGGGTGGGGTCCGTTGGGTGTGGTTCCCACTGGGGGTTCTGGGGCACCTGAAACCTTTCTGCCTGTTGCAGTTTTGCTTTTCTGTCTTCCTGAGATGTGTAGTTTGCAGAGCATGTGACCATCTCCCTGAACCTCCACGTTAGGGGATGGTGCTGGCCCAGTGGCCTGGATCCCTCCGACTGCAGGGTTTTGCTCCAGCATCCACAAAGGGGCCAGCCTCCACCACCCAGAATACCTTGCAGCTCTAGGGGGAGCCTGGAACACGGAACACTATGGACACTGTGCCAATAGAACAGTGGATGCCAGGGACTGACCCATGCCTGGGGGAGGGCTGGCCCGAGGCCACAGCCCCAAAGTGGCCTCTGTGGACCCTGCCTGAGCCCTGCCTGTCCTGCCACCCCATGCCACAGTGGACATCTACTTCTTCTCAGCCTGGGGAGAGCTATCCTTCTGCACCCTGACCCCCAGGGCCATCGAGAAGCTGCCTTCCAGGTCTCTGGATACTGCTGCCTTGGTAGTATAAGAATCCTCCAGGGTTAGGGTGGGGGCTTGGACCCTGCAGAGAGACAGAGGGAAGTGCTGAGTGTGAAAGGGAAACCTGGCTTGCTCAGTGCTGCCCAGCTGCATCCTGGGCGCTCAGGAGACAGGGCACAGGGCCTGCTGCTTGTTCAGGCCATATGTGTCCTTGTCTGGTCACCTGCCCACCTGCTGGCCATGCTGTGCACAGGAAATGCACATGGGTCTTGGGAGATAGGAGTGGAGCGCGTGATGTCACCAAGCGTGGCCATGTGGGTTCGTTCTCAGGTTGGAGTCCTAGCCCTCACCAACCTAGCAGAAGACCTGAGATGAGTCCTCCAGATGTCCTTGGTGGAGACGAGGATCCCCTGGAGAGGAGTGGCCCCATCTTGTGTGACTGTGTCCTGTCACAGCGTGATGCCCAGGGCTGCCTGGACCCATGTGCTACCAGCCAAGGGATGACCAAGGCTGGGAGGTGGGAGATGCACAGCAGGGGCTGCCCATACCTCGTCCCAGCCTCTAGCTGCTGGCACCCAAGACAGAGCAGCTGCTGTTCAAGCCATGACACTGGGGTGCCTTGCCAGCTGTCCGTAGCTGGGTGCTCACTGGCCATGGGATGCAGGTCTCATGGACCCAAGAGACTAGCAGCTCATCTAATGGCTATGTTCCGGCAGGCAAGACCCTTCTGCCTGCCCCATGGGACCTAGCCACCATGTCAGGAGGAAGCCTAGGCCTTCAGGGAGGCTACTGAGCATGTGAACAAGCAGGCTCTGGGGGACACAGCCCCCCCACTCCTGCCTGCAGGCTATGACTGTACTGTTTCCAGGTTGATACAGGAGCCCCTAGAGCAGCATTTCCTGATAGAGACCTCTTTCTGCCCTGAGACCCACCGGCTATAGCCCAGAGGGTCCCCCAGAATCTGGGTGCTACTGGGTGAAGTTTTAGGGACCCACCCTTTCCCTCTTGAAAAGCCATCCCTTGCTGGAGTGTGCATCTCTCTGCTGTGTGATCTATTCTTCTCCGAAGTTACTGAGAGCTACTGTAAGATACCATCATGTCCTTTCAAGTCGGGGGACCAAGACTCATTCAGTAATAACCCAATCGTGAACACACGGTTGGCAACATCTCAGGACATGGAGTGAGAGGATGATGTTGCCCCGGTTTAACCAGGCCAAGTCCCATGATCCCATTTAGTCCTCCACACGTGGGGTCACCTATGTGGAGGACTCAGGCTCAGGGGGTCCTGCAGCCTGGCAGACCCCAACTCAACTCCCTGTGGCAATAGTGGCCAGGACGGAAAATCACAAGGCTGTGTGGGAATGGGGTACAGGACATAGTGCCATGGGGCCCATCAGGGCAGCCCAGGCCTACGCACAGAGAGCTTCCACATGTGTGGCAGTTTGCTGTGCCGTCTACACAGCGTGATGCATCACCCCACGTCCTGAGGCTGAGCAGAGGATTCAGGGTCAGCACAGGGCCACCTGGACAATGCAAGGGGCAGGCCCTGGCTCTCATCTCTGGACCCCTCACCCAGCCATTTCCCAGGGCACTGTCCTGCTGAGTGCCTAAAATCTGTGGTCTTCCCTAAAGCGGCCCCTGGCTCATCCTGGATGTGGTTCTTCTAGAGCTGAGATGACAGACTGTGTGCAGCCAGCCAGGAGGTGCTCAAGGCCAGGATGGGACCGTGCTGCACTTCCTCTGCAGGTGCCAACTGCTCCAAGAACTGAGAACCACAGCATCAGGGAGCAGTGGGTGGGAGGACGTGCAGCTGGGGCTCCATGATGTCCCCAGCAGAAACCAGCCCCGTGCATACCTTCTAGGGCCCTGTGTCCTCAAGACAGGCCTTGCTTCAAACTTGTGTCCCAAATAAACAGAGCCCTCTTGGGGGAGGCCACCACTCCTCTCTGGTCCCTCCCGCCCCTCTCCTGGAGCCCCAGGGGCTCCCCCTTCCCATCCTTACCTGAATTTGTAGTTGTCTGGCAGGAAGTAGCCCATTTTGCAATCCTGTCTTGCCTGCAAGATCTGTTTCAGCAGATTCTGCTTGCTGAGGCCGTACCCATTCAAAACACAGCCTCCCAAGAGCAGCTTCCCCCTAGCGAACATCTGCTGGCAGATGGACAGACAGCGAAATGAGAGGGCCAGTGTGGCTCAGGACCACGCAGGAGCACTGAGCCTCACCAGGATGGGGTACCAGGCCTCCCAGGCCCATGGAATGCAGGCTGGTGGTGGCTGGGGAAGAGGTGCTGTTGTCCCCATTACCCAGGAAGCATGGCTGAGGCTGGCTCAGGTCCCAGGGACAGAGGGCAGCACGACTGCCCAGGGTCCCCCCACTGGGCCAAGCTGCCCCAATGCCATGCTGCACAAATCCACCGGGACCATCCCTGCTCAAAGGGCTCTGCTTACCCGCCACACTGTCTGGGCTTCTGCTTCTAACCCACCAGGCAGGACTCAGCCCATCCCACAGCCAGGGCCCTAATGCAGGGCTCACAGTACCCTGCCTTCTGTATGTCGGTCCCCATCCTGGAGACCTTGCACAAAGATTTCTGAGCAAGGGTGTTCACCATAGCATTGTGTGTCATGGAAGAAGGAAACAGGAAAGAGAAGAGAGGAAAGGACGAAAAAAGAAAAATAGGGCAGGAAAGGAAGAAAAGAAAACATTAAATCTTCAACTAAAGCAGCATGGATAGAGATAAAATGACAGACTCCTATCTGGAATTAAAATCAGTTGTCACACACCATTAGGACATGGGGAATGCCCGTGCTGTTTTTATTAAAAAGGCAGGACCTGAAGTGTGTCATAGAAAGACTGCAAGGCTGGAAAGCACAATGCCAGCATGGTGTGGACCTGCCAGGGCCCAGAACATAACTGCTGGATGTGTGCACGACTCTGGGTGACTAGGGACATCGTGACTTTCCAAGTTCAGCATGAAGGGATTTAGAAACAGATGCAGAGACTTGGGCTCCCTCTGGAGTCCTAGGAGGGGCTGTATGGGGAGCTGGGGGACCTGGGCAGAACTGGTCTTGCCCCTCCCACCCATGGTCCCCACCCCCAGCTCACCAGGACCATCCCCAGCGCCACAGTGAACTTGGTCACCAGCAGGGGTGGGTGGCGCTGCAGGGGGCTGTCCAGGTCATACTGCAGCAGGCGGTATGGGTCGTGCTGGCACTGGCGAGAGAGGCAGGGCTGGTGACACCACGCTACCAGATGCACCCTGGTACCCCCTCTGAGCCCTCATTTGAAAGAGGCCACCATGAGATGACTGCCAGAGTCACCACGAGCTGGGCCTGGGGCTCCGAGACGAGACACTCCTGTCCCACAACGTGAAGGTGCCCATCCTATGCATGTCCCCAGGCCTACCCTACCCCTGAACCCTCCAGGCCTTGCCCTAACTGCCCAGCCCCACCCTGCCCTGTCCTAAAGGCCCTACCCTGCTCTCTGGGGACTGTCATCAAATGAGCTGAGTGATGACTCAGCTCCCACTGGGTCGGGATCCTATCTGTCTACATGGTCAGCCACAGCACAGGTTCTTGAGAAACACTCACTCAACTAAGCAGAGGTCCTGGCTGAGCCCCCAGTCTGAAGGTGGGTATGAACCCCACCCAAGGGCACACACTCAGAACCCTGCAGCAGGGCAAAGGGAGGATTGGTCTCAAGAGGTGAAAAGGAAGGGACCGTTTCCCTGTGGACACCTGCTCACAAGCCTAGGTGGAGCCTCTGCTCCACTCAGGGTGGGTCTGGGCCAGCCTTCAACCTGCACTAACACTGGGGATGATGAGGCTGGGTCAGGAGTGACTCTGCAGAGGTGAGGAGGTAGAAGGGGAGGGGATCCATGTGCCCCAACTATGCAGCCTAAGACCCCTCCACTTTGCCTGCAGTGACTGGCTCCTCCAGTGGCCCTGCTCCCCATCCACCTGCACACAGGCTGCTGCCCTGCCACGGACATGCACCTCCCCGCAACCCTGGGCATGTGGCAGCACATGTTGAGCTGCAGCATGTATCATATCCTGCCAGCAATGGTCTCCAAACATTTTCTGAGCTCTGAACATGATCTCTGCTCTCAATGGCCAAGCACACAAAAAGCCCAAACTGTGCGTGCACTCTGGATGAGCAGAAGGAAGCTCCTGGTTTTGTCCTGAGGGCCAGATGTGGTGACATTCATCCCAGCACAGGAGGAGGAGTTGGGAGAAGACAGGGGAGGTGTTATAGACAGCAGGAGGGTAAGCAAAGGTCCTGGGAACCCAGGGACCCAAGAGTGGCGCCCCCTTGACTATGTAGCACCTTGGGCCCCACCTGCCCTGGCCCTCACCCACCTGGATGCAGAGTGAGCCGTGGCCCTGCTGCCCGTGCCTGTAGAGCATGTCCAGCAGCCACTGCAGCTGTGTGGTACCCATTGGGGTCTGGCTTGAGAAGATCCCGAACACCAGCACCTGGCTGGGGTTGCGGGGTGTCGACAGGAAGTACTCCAACTCCAGATCGGACACCAGTGGCACCTTCACCACGCACCTGCAGCCCGGGCACAGGTCCTCCCTGCGCAGCAGTTTGCGCAGCACCAGCGGACATTCAGAGGGTGCAGCCACCCACTGCAGGGGGCTGTGTGCCTCAGGGGTCTTCCCCCTGTGAGAAAAATGCAGTTGAGTGGGCACCAGCCATGGGGGTGGGTCCTGACCTCCCCAGCCTCAGTTTCCCTGGATGCAAAGGGGTAACATGCTACCCACTCACCCACCCCCTTGGATCCTCCTTTCTCCCTCCACTCACCCATGCCCAGCCCCCCACCCTCAGGCAGAGACAGACTCCACTGCCCACCACCCTGACCTTCCTGCCACCCCACTCCTAGGTGCTTCCTCAGGGGTCTGGGGCTGGCTCCCTCACCTGTCCTTAGGCTGCTTTTTATTGGTGCTGGGACTCTACTGCAAGCCTTAGACACGGGAATGCTTGAGAAAGACAGTGCTGGATTGGTTGAGAGAACACTGGTGTTTGAGCTTCCTCCCTCTAGCCCTGGGCATCCATGGGATGACAGCCCCATCAGGCCCGTGGATCCTTGCCTCAAGGAATGGCAGTGTGACTGACCTGTCTGGGGTCCCCAAGGGGTCAGCTTGGGGCTTAGCTTCCTTCTACCCACCTTTGAACCTTCTCAGGATGCAGCAGCCCCAGGAAACTGTTGTTGGAAGCACATAAAACACAGATCCTAGACATAGCCTCTTTGTGCCCAGGAAAACAGCCCGGCAACAACCAGATAAAAACTCTGGCCAGGAAGGGGCTGAGGATGGCGCCAAGGCTCTGCAAGGCTCCTGTGTGCTGACGGTTCTAAATACCAGGTGTGGACACTGAGCTTCTGCTCTGGCCGGTCCAAAGCACTGCACACGAACCCCTGCAGCCAGGCTGCAGGCATAGGCAGTTTCCCCTGTGTTAGCTCTAGGCAATCTCTTGTCAGATAACTAATTCTCCACTAAATCAACTGCCAGAGACTCCAGTCACTACACACAACATAGAACAGTCTTTAAAGATAGTCTTTACAAGATAGGCATGGTGAACATGTCTATAATCCCAGCACTCTGAGGCTGAGACAGGAAGATCTCAAGTTCAAGGCTGGTCTGGACTATAGAGCAAGACTCTGTCCCCAAAAGAAAAAAAACCTAAAAATTAAACTTTGTAAAATTGCCTGGAAAAGTCATTAAACAACTATAAACTACACTAAGCAGAACAAGCCCTAAAGAAAGAGAATCTGACTTCCAGAGTTACTATAATATTCTAAATGTTCAGTTTTGAAGAAGAAATTATGAGGCATGCAAAGAAACAAGAAAGTCTGACCCGTTCATGGGAAATGAGATTAACAGGAGCTGCCCCTGAAGAAAACTGGGTACTGAACTCACTGGAAAGACTTCTCAGATGTGCTCCAAGAAAATCAAGGAAAAAAAAGGAAAGGAAACTAGGAGGAAAAAAGGCTCCAAACAAAAGTCAAATGTCCCCTGGTGGCAAAATCTTCTCCATAGGAGAAGGCATTGGGTTTTTTTTTCAACATGACACCAAAGTACAATCCAGAAAAGGGAAAAAATTATAAACTGATCTTCGTGGAAATAAACAGTGTCCTGAAAATACACTGCTCAGAGGATGAGAAGTTAAGGCAGGGCCCGGGAGAAGATGTTTCAAGTCACAAGTCTGACAGAGGGCTTACATCCAGGATAACATGTGGAAACACGACGAGGAAATGACCCAATTAGAAAATACACACAAGGCCTGGTGGAGACATCACCAGAAAAAACAAAAACAAAAAACAAAAAACAACAGCATGAAAATGGTAAATAAGGCCATAAAAAGACTCCAAATACCACCTAGGTGGTAACCAAAAGCTGAAACAACTGGAGTGTTCAGACGTGTGGCAGGAATGAGTGACGGCACAGCCGCTTGAGGAGCTGTGATGCAGGCCTTAACCATATGACCCGGCAATGTGGCACTTAAGTACTGGGCTTAGTGAAGTGACCACCTATGTTAAGATGGAAACCTGCTCGACAATATTGATAGTAGCTTTCTTTATAATCATCAAAAACTGGCACTCGCGATCGCGCCCCGCCCCCTGCCTCCGTGTGGGCGGGGCGGCAGCTCCAGACCTTGAGCGCCCGAGCCGCCGCCGCGTCATGATTCTGGGCGGGCGCGCCGGGGGATCTTGCGGCGCGCGGCCCCTCCACTCCGGCCCGGCCCGAGATGAACGCTTCGGCAGAAGCCGAGTTCAACATCCTCCTGGCCACCGACTCCTACAAGGTTACTCACTATAAACAATATCCACCCAACACAAGCAAAGTTTATTCCTACTTTGAATGCCGTGAAAAGAAGACTGAAAACTCCAAAAGTGAGGTTGTGACCAAAGAGAAAATCCAGGAAGCCAAAGAGGTGTACAAAGAACATTTCCAGGATGATGTCTTTAATGAAAAGGGATAGAACTACATTCTTGAGAAATATGATGGGCATCTCCCTATAGAAGTAAAGGCCGATCCGGAGGGCTCTGTCATTCCCAGAGGAAATGTTCTCTTCACAGTAGGAAACACTGATCCAGAGAGCTACTGGCTTACAAATTGGATTGAGCCATCTTTTTAAAAGGGGAGTGAGAGTGAGGGCAGGGAATTTAGCTCAGTGGTTTCACCACCTGCTGCGCAAGCGCAAGGACCCAAGTTTGATCCCCGGTACCGGAAAAAAAAAAAAAAAAAAAAAAGATGAGAAAAGGGGAGTGATTTTGTTAAGAGTATAATTTAAACTGATTTTGTTGGACTATGGAAGGAAATGTGATGTGCAGGATCACTGTGTCTGATAGTTATTTCTCTCCTTCCCTGGCATTTTTCGAGGGACTATTCTTGTTCAATCCTGGTAACCAATCACAGTGGCTGCAAATTCTGAAGAGCAGAAGAAAATTTTGGCCAAATATTTGTTACAAACTTCTGATAACTTAGATGGTCTGGAATACAAGTTACATGATTTTGGCTACAGAGGAGTCTCTTCCCAAGAGACTGTTGGCATAGGGGCATCTGCTCATTTGGTTAACTTCAAAGGAACAGATACAGTAGTGGGAATTGCTCTAATTAGAAAATACTATGGCACAAAAGATCCTGTTCCAGACTATTCTGTTCCAGCAGCAGAACATAGTACAATAACAGCTTGGGGGAAAGAACATGAAAAAGATGCTTCTGAACATATAGTAACACAGTTTTCATCAGTGCCTGTATCTGTGGTCAGGGATAGCTATGACATTTATAATGCGTGTGAGAAAATATGGGGTGAAGATCTAAGACATTTAATATTGTCAAGAAGTACTGAGGCACCACTAATAATCAGACCTGATTCTGGAAATCCTCTTGATACTGTATTAAAGGTTTTAGATATTTTAGGTAAGAAATTTCCTGTTACTGAGAACTCAAAAGGCTACAAGTTGCTGCCACCTTATCTTAGAGTTATTCAAGGGGATGGAGTAGATATTAATACCCTACAAGAGATTGTAGAAGGCATGAAACAAAAAAAGTGGAGCATTGAAAATGTTGCCTTTAGTTCTGGTGGAGCTTTGCTGCAGAAGTTAACCAGAGATCTCCTGAATTGTTCCTTCAAGTGTAGCTATGTTGTCACCAATGGCCTTGGGATTAATGTCTTCAAGGACCCAGTTGCTGATCCCAACAAAAGGTCCAAAAAGGGCCGGTTATCATTACATAGGACACCAGCAGGGAATTTTGTTACACTTGAGGAAGGAAAAGGAGACCTTGAGGAATATGGTCAGGATCTTCTCCCTACTGTCTTCAGGAATGGAAAGGTGACCGAAAGCTATTCATTTGATGAAGTAAGAAAGAATGCACAGCTGAATATAGAACTGGAAGCAGTGCCTCATTAGGGTTTGCCCTATGAGTGGGTGCATGTGCGCATGTGCACCCGAGTGAGAGTATGTAGTACATAATGTTTATTGTACAGCTGTGTGGGCTTTCTTTGTTTTATGATACATTACAGCTAAATTATTTGCTGGCTTATGGACATAACTGCCCTTTTTTTGGTTTGTTTCCAGTGTTTAGGTGATCTCAAATTAGGCAACACATAACCATTGTGAAAGATTAATGTTAAAGTAAGCTTTTTAGGGCCCTTTGCCAATAGATAGTAACTCAATCTGGTATTGATCTTTTCACAAGTAACAGAACCAAGAAACTTTTATATATAACTAAAGACCACATAAAAGATTTTCATAAAATTATCATGATTGCTTTATGTTTATATTTAACTTGTATTTTTGTACAAACAAGATTGTGTAAGATATATTTAAAATTTCAGTGATTTAACAGTCTTTCCAATTTTTCATGATTTTTATGAGCACAGACTTTCAAGAAAATACTTGAAAATAAATTACATTGCCTTTTGTCCATTAATCAGCAAATAAAACGTGGCCTTAACAAACAAACAAAAAAATCACCAAAAAATGAGAAGAATGCAAATGTTGTATAGTGGTTGAATGGATAAAGGAAATCCTGCCTGTTCACATGTGCAACATGCAGAAGAGACAACATTAGAAGGATGAGACTTAGGGGCTGGGGATTTAGCTCAATGGTTCCGGTGCCTGCCTTGAAAATGCAAGGTCCTGAGTTCAATCCCTGGTACCAAAAAGAAGAAGGATGAGATTTGCTGACCAGGCTGACCTACACCTGGTGCCTGGGAACCGGGCACTTGAGTCAGAACCTGCTCTGTACCTAGACTGTGCCTGCAACGTGCTGTGTGCCACACCCTGCCTTCCTTCTAGTCATCTAGAATCTCAGTGGCTATCAGGCAGACAGTGTGTAGGTGACTGGCCTCTGCTGATCACCCTGGGGCGAGTGTTTAGGAGGCTCCTGGACAGAGTACGTGCAGGTACTGCAACGTCCACACTGGAGAAAGCCACATGGCTGGTGCCCCTCACCCGTGGTTTTCTTGAGTTGAGCTGTGTTTTCCCCTTGCTGATCCTGCACATCGCATGTCCTTGAATGTCATAAACCTCATCCATGAGAATGGCATGCTGAGTCTCATGGGTCCTAGTGAATTTCTGGATGGGAGGGTGCTGCTGGGGTCCCCCAAACATAATTCTACTCAGCAATGAATGGAAGAGGATGGCTGGGGTGTGC